AGTGTCGCTTCAGTTGTTAATAGCTTTCCTACAGAATACGGGACTGGGATAGATGCCGAAGGTGGACGTCAATTTCAACCCTCCTATTAGGGGTCATCACCGTTCTCCCATCCGTAGCATATGTACTTCTTCCGCTCCACTAAGGCTTATCACTCAGAAGTGGAAAATCAGGATGCATGTCCTTTAGGATCGGGTTCGCTTACCGCTGCCACCAGTGTAGCGTCCCGAGACTCCCTGAAGTCAAAAGAAGATAAAATACTCGGGCAGAATATATACTCAGCGCAGAGAAGGTGTCTGGGCCATTTGCATGGCCCAAAGGCCAGCCCACCCAGAGAGGTACAAGGGGGCTAATTCAAAGTACAAAAATGGCGCCTCATTAATACCGAGGGATAAACCACTATCGTATATACTCACATAAGTAAGAATAAGTGCATGGGTTTGAATCAGTAAAATTTCATTATACATGTGCCTATACAAGTGTAAATATTTGAATGTGAGGATCTACATAGCTTTAGATGTATGAATGGGTGCAATAAATGTTTTACATAAATTTAGCACTTATACATACTTCATAAGCGTAAGTGAGTGCACATTTTGTATTAATGTCAGTGGGTACTATTAATTACCAATGCGGGTGTGAATGACTGTAAGCAGTTTGTGGTAGTAAAATTTCGCATCTACACATACATATGAGCTTAGCTGCTTAAGTGAATTTCAAATAAGTAAAATTCAGAAAATATATTTGCGCGCGATCTTCCATAAGTGTAAGTACATCCGCATTGTATGCATGTGTGGAATGCTGTTTTATGCATATTTAGCACCTGTGTGTACATGTTGGCGCGAATTAGTCCAAGTTGTGTGTGTTCATTAAGTTTGTTTCATACACACAAGGCCATGTGGTTATAAATGTGTGCATGAATTGCTGATAGGTTAAAAATAACCATGCATGTAATGTAGCGCCCCTAAGGGTAGGGGCCACCGCCATGGCCCGGAGGCCAGCCCACCCAGCGAGGTACAGTGGCCAAGGCTAAGTGGCACTGTACCAAAACCTACCCTTAAACAAACCACCAAAGTATTACATTTATATAACTATATAATTGTCAATAAATCCATGTTTTTCATTAGTAAAATGTGGTGTTTTTACATATCTCTGAGTGTAAATGCGCAAACATATTTCATATTTGTTAATTTGTGCATACAATTATGTATTCATAATTGTAAATGAGTTTACGCATTTTGTATTAGTGATTATTTTGTATATACATGGATCTAAACAGTTGTGATGCAGTGCATTTATATTTGTTATATAAAGTTGGCTTATGTATAAACATTTATGTATGGCTGAATCTGTGCCTGTGTTTTTAGTAGGATTTTACAAATATGCATATCTATATAGGTGTAAGTAAATGCACCAATTATGTAATGGTCAAGACTATAACATGCTAATTAATTTAATGGAGTAATTTTATGCGTGTGGTTTGTATCAAGAAATGTTGAATGCATAGACCTATTTAGAGTAAAATTATTTCACATATTTTAATTGGAGGAATCTGGCATGTATGCAGATCTACCTTGGTGTGATTCAATGCGTGTATTTTGAATTAATAGAATTTAACATATACGTAGCCATACAGGTGTTAACAAATTTGTTTATAGAGCATTAGTAGAGTGTGGTACATGTATACTTATATAGGTGTGAATTTACGCATTTATTTTGTCCTACTACATTTTAGCATGCATATGCACCTATATACATGTGAATCTTTAGATGTTTTCCTTGTTAAAAAAGGATTTTCCCCACTTATTGCTCCCATGAAGGGGCAAACTTACGCATGAATCTTTATTCCCGAAAGATTTTTTATAATACGTCTCCATAGAAGTGTAAATAAGTCCATGCATATTCTATCTGTAAAAATTTAACCCATATGGAAAAAACTAGCATG